ATACGCTCGTTTAAACCGCATTTTCCAAAACTTCTTGGTTTTCGAGTAATAAATTCGCGAAAATTTTGCTGGTTTTTAACTTTGACCCCCCGCCGCGTCTCCCCAAAATTTTTGGGGGGCTTGAAACTTTGGGAAAAGATGGGGCATTGTTAGGTTAATGAATAGGGCAAGTCTCAAAGGTATCCGCCCCGAGCCCCAAATGGCCCGTTTTGCACGTAGTCCTTTGTTGAACTGTTTTCGGTCTGACGCTATTTTTAGGAAGCCACTATTTTTTAAAGATCTTATAAGAACTTATATGAATGACCCAGGTAGTGCTTGATGCCAGCTTTCACATGATTAAAGGCTTTCCACAGCATCTACAGTCGGTCAAAGTGAGCGGGCCCTGTGCGTGATCTCATGGAGCAAAGTGCCCTTCTTTTGTGCTTTGTATCCCTTGACTTTTGAGTGTACTCAAAAGATCTTTTAGGAACTTAAATTAATGACCCAGGTGGTGCGCTTAATGCTTACTTTTAAAGAATTAAAGGCATTTTTCAAAATTTACAGTCCTTCAAAATGAGCTTTCCGTGTGATTTTGCTAAGAATCAACTTTGGCCCCTAGCCTCCCCCCCCCCCCATTTTGGCGTACCCCAAAATCGTTTGATGCGCATAAGGAGACCATGATATGGTTTTCTCTACAGATTTTGAATGAAATTGAACAGATAGATTCTGAGATATTGTTGTACACTGATTTGGGTGACGCCTGGCAGATGGACACACATATTTTCAAGTATGATTATTTTGACTCTAGGGATCTTAAAACGTCTAGAAATGATGAAATTTTAACTTTTTTTCTCTTTTTTTTTTCTTGAAGGAGGACAATTTACTTCCTCTAACCGTAAGGGGAGCGAGAAAGTAAAAATATTTGAATATAAAAATTTCTTAATCAAAGACTTTAAACACTACTTCTTAGGGGAGAATAGAAAAACCAGGGAAAACGATTATTTTAAATGTATGTACTGCTATGTAAGTATTAATTGTACATTCTTAGTATTCTGCGCAAGTTTTCCAGGAAAAAATTGTTTTCAACATCATCCTGGGGGCAAAAAAATTGAGATATTAATGGTTTATTGCCATCTCATTGCCAACATATTCCAATTTTAATGCAATTCGATTGGCAAAAAAATTTTCAAATAATTGGTCGACTATTGATTCTCGGATTTGTCGATTATTGGCAATAAATTACCAATCGATGGAAATCAAATCAAAATAAAATTGATTCGGAGAGAGTAAGGTACGCCAAGTAGATGCATAAATTACATTTTTTATTTACCCAAATGCATTTCAGCCCATTGGGCCATCTTCAGTGGTATACATAAGGATCACAGACTACAAGCAAGTACAAGTACATGCATAATCTAAGGACATGCTGATGAGAATTAAAAATTACGGGTACTAACTACATTATAGCATACACTTAATTACTAATAAGCATAAAATTCACAACATCGAAAGCAACATGGATATTTTGCATAAATCTAGCAATAAGAAAAAACTAAAAGTCCTAGAATCCTTTGAAATCCGGAAAGCAGTTTATAACAACAGTAACTTATTGAATGCCCAAGTAGATTTGAATCTTGCCGCCACTCCAATTATTGATGCTTGTTGCTTCATTAGTGATTTATGCTGAATGTTGGGTTTCTTAGTTTCACTTAACCTGTAAATTCTTTATTTATTTATTTAATTGCCACCTGTATGCTATAATGTAGTTAGTACCCGTAATTTTTAATTCTCATCAGCATGTCCTTAGATTATGCATGTACTTGTACTTGCTTGTCGTCTGTGATCCTTATGTATACCACTGAAGATGGCCCTATGGGCTGAAATGCATTTGGGTAAATAAAAAATGTAATTTATGCATCTACTTGGCGTACCTTACTCTCTCCGAATCAAGTTTCATAGATGCAATATGCGCTCCTTCAAATCCAAAATAAAATTGTAAATAAATTATCAATATATTAGCAATCATGTTTCAAATTTTGCTACATGGGGCAGAAGAAGAGAGAGGAAAAGTCAAATTTTTTACACATCGAGAGTAGTGGGAAAAAACTGGATAGCAAAATTTGATCCTGTCTAGAGATTTTTAATTCTTACATTTTTACAAAAAAAAAAAAGGAAAAACCCACTGTGTGCGGACGAATTTTTCAGGATTTTTGAATGAGATCAAAGTTGTTCATTCTAAGCTCCCATTTAATCTTGAATCGATGAGGGAGCAAGATAGTGCCTGACAATATTCCTCCCGCAGATCACCTTCATTTTTGCCGATGCGTGGCCTCAACCGCAATCCATGCTCCATGCAGCCGTGCGTTGATAACGACCGACCCTGGGAAATGCACAACGAACCGAGTGAGAAATTGAACATACCCCAAAATCTGAAGAGGTTGAAATGACTGGAAATAAAGTACACACACACACCCGCCCTCACACACACACCCTCACCCTCACACACCTACACACACACACCCTCACTAGGGTGGAGCGTTTTTGGGCTTTTTTTTTATTTTGAAAATGGACATAGCACAGTAGTTGTGAAATGGTCTAAAAGTACTGCCTGAATTTTCCTGAATTTTTTCGTCAACGTTTAGGCCTCCCGGATTGACGTTGACGTCAAAATTAGCGGAAAATCCGGGTTTTTTTGACGATAACTTGGCAACAAAAAATGCATAGAATCAGAGTTGTTGGAAATTAAATTTCCAACAAATCACTTTCTTATCGTTTTTTCTGTAAGTGCAACCGTTTTAGTGTAAAATTCGAAAACCCGTATTTTTCCGGAAATTTGACACAAACTCTCGTTCAGTCCGGGAGAAATACAGGAAAAAGAGGGCTAACTCGGAACAAATTGCGTGATAGACTTTTCCTACAAGAATACCATCATCGGGTTGGCCTGAATAACACAAAACGTGCAAAATGTTTTCCACAGCTCCACCGCGGAACACCCCTTAAAATGCCTAAAATTCAAAAAGGCGGCCGTGTCCAGATTATCAAGCATCAAGGCAATTTAAAATGTGCATCTCGTGTGGTATGAGGTGTCGTTTCCTATGTCTTTATAGTCGTAAATTTCAAATATAGTGTTAAAAAAAGCCCCTGGTCAGACGGGGTGCATCAAATCCAGGATGGCGGCTAACTTTGAACGGCAGGAGGGTATGTTTGTCCCTTATTCCCTCACATTCTACCCTGATAGTTCGTCCTAGTGCCACTTCTTCGCGTGATAAGTCAAGTGGGGTATTATTTCCTTAAAGAATATCGACGGCAAAATTCCCAAACCAGGTATCTCGTTTGCAATATTTGAAAATTCCAAGAATTCTGCAACATCGCTAACCGATACATGCTTTAGTTGTTTCATCGTAATTTTGGTCGTAGATTTCCAGTATGACGTGATGAATACCACCTGGTTAATCGGGCTGCCCAAAACTCAAAAAAGACTGATAAGTTTGAAGGGTGGGAGGACTTAAGCAAGTTAAATAATGACGCAATGAGTGAAGTGAAGTATCATTCCCTGTGTACTTAATTTTGGTAAAATGTGAAGTAAAAAATTAAGTGGAAAATGAATGGTCAAACAGGGCGTCTCAAATCCACGATGACTGCCTTTAAAAGGCAGTAGTGTTAACCGGAGGTGTAGGTATAATGCTGGAAGGCATTATCTGAACGGTGTTTGCGTGCAACATAGTTGTTTTTAGCATTACGTCGTATTTTAAAATATGCTTTTAATATACATCTTCGAAAATAAGGTACCGATTTCCATGTAAGTAATATCCGCGTTTAAAATCCTTTTATTCCCCCGAGAACCAAGACTCTTTTTATTCGAAATGTGAATAATGCAAATCAGGTCACGTGAGAACCACGATAAAAAAAAAAAAAAAAAAAAAAAAAAAATCAATTTTCTCTAAAATCAAAAGTTGACGACACCACTGTTCAAAAAATATACTGAGGAACATCATCCGGTGGTATGAATCATCAATGTTTTCATTTTTTTATTCTTTTTCTTTTAGTAATAGGTAACTCAATGGACCACTAGACAAGGTACGAACTTAAGCATTCTGATACATGTTTGTTAACCAGAATTTCACTTAAAACATGATTCGCGCAACGAAAATTACTGAAACCAACTCCTAATGGAGATGTTAAAATTTTTATTTCACATTGGTTACGAGCAATTTGAACTGTCCGCTCACAAGAAACTCAAAGCTCTACGTGAGTCAAATCGCGCACTACAACGGCTTCAGCAAGCTTCTCAATCGAGCAATGTTCATTTCCCACCATGTGTTTTTCAAACTATAAGTAATTTGCTATAGCTGAGCCTAAGCGTCAAGATTGAGGTTGCCAGATTTTTTTATCGCAGAGATGTTCGTGATAACGTTTAGCGTGCGATGTGAATCACGTAGAGCATTCAGTTTTCATGAGCGGGTGGTCTGAATTCACGCATCAAGAATCATTAAATATCTTCGTAAGGAGTTAATTTCGGTAAATTTTGTTGTGTGCATCGTGTTTTACGTGAAATTTTGGTTTAGAAACATGTATCAGAATGCTGAAATTCGTACCTTATCTAGTGGTCCATTGCATGTAAATATCGCTTATTCAGCAGTCTCTCTTTGAATTGTACATTTATTTTGTAGGGTCGTTTTATCGATTCTTCAAATGGAGATAGTCACCATCCTCGATTTCAGCTCTTATTGAGGAGTAATATTAATTGTGAACATTTAAGAAAACTGTTAGATTTATTTCAAAGATTTTTTACTATCACACTTTGAAATTTGCTGTTCTGTCCTTCACATTTAGAAGTCATCCACTTATCCCATAATTGGGAGATCCTTGACGGGGCATTGGGGCGGGAGCCACACTAGCAGCGCGGCTCACGCCCTCTACCGTTAGCCACCCAACAACTCCTAAAGTTTTACTTCTGGCGGCTAGCCGCAACGCGACTAATAAGCCAACCCGGAGGCCTCCAACAGAGGAAATTCGAGCAATCCATTTACGGACAGGTTGCTCAGCACTCACTTCTCTGTGCCTATACAAATCAAATGATTTGTTCGGACCGTCATTTATATGAAATGCAGTTTTTTACGAGGTATCGGTCACTAATATTTTTTTTGTATGGATTTTTCCATACTAGCGAGAACCTCATTTGAGGAGAGTTGGATGTGGGTAAAGAAATCGGGCCTGTTGTCAGCACCACTACCGGTTTCACGCTTGTTAGCAATCTTTAGGTGTGCATAGACATTCTGATTTGCACGGCATCTCAGAGTGTTCGAGCTTCTAATCGGAACTGGCTGTCTATGCACACCTGAAGATTGCTAACAAGCGTGAAACCGGTAGTGGCGCTGACAACAGGCCCGATTTCTTTACCCACACCCAACTCTCCTCAAATGAGGTTCTCGCTAGTATGGAAAAATCCATACAAAAAAAATATTAGTGACCGATACCTCGTAAAAAACTGCATTTCATATAAATGACGGTCAGAACAAATCATTGGATATATATATATATATCTCGTTATGCCGTTTATTATTAAATTGCAAATGGGTGCGGCATGTAAGAGCTCTATTGGCTCTGAAGATCGAGATATCAATCAGGGTGCGTTGATTTACTTTACCTTAAACTTAAATTTTTACTTCCATTTATGTTTTTACTTCATCAACTGAAGATGAGGTGATAACCCTGAAATGGCCATTGTGACATAGGTAAAAACTTAAAATGGTATTAAAAACAGAGTTTTGACAAAATTTCCGACGAGTCCATTAAAAGGTTAATCAAGCTAATATGATTGCATAATGCTCTCGATTGTAGTTTGCATCATGCGGCAATAGTACAACAATATTGAAAAAACTGGTAGATCCACTTTGATGATTTCTAGATTTGAAATTGAATCAAGTTGCATTCTGCTGCTCAGGTAGTCATTGTTTTGTTAGGTAGCTGTTATAGCTCATTGAAACATACTATAAATTGAATTGAACATGAATGATGTGAGAGCAGGTACTGAAAATAAAAATAGCGAGAAATAAAATATGTAACTTTACCTGAAATAAAATGAGCCAAAGTGAGCACGGATTATGAGTCATCGAACACCATTCTTCCTGGACCATGGTTTTTCATATACCTTCTGTATGCTTTGAAACGAGCATTTTCAGCCATTTGTTTCTTTACTTCTTCATTTTTTTCTTTCTGCCATTTCTAAACAGAAGCAAGTCAAAAATCTGATGCAACTTTTTCTTAAAAAGTTTACCTACTTAACAGCTCTAGATGGCAATGTCAGGGTACTAGTGATGAGACGATAATTGTTGAGATAAGAAAGGTGTCCTTTCCTGCTTTGGACTGTACACTAAATTTCCCTCCAAAAATTCGGGAACCTTATCAAAAACTTCAAAAATAGAAAAAACATGCTTACTGAAAAATTCAAAATGGATGATGTTGGATCGAGAATCGTGAACACAGCAGAACTTCTTGGATATTTTCAATAAACTAGTCAGACATTAATACATAGTACCGACATACAAAATTTTATTCAGGATGGAGGAATTTAACCAATTCTTTATGGAAAATCAAAATGATTTAAATAGATCTACTATAGACATCAAAACCTAGGTGCTTAAAGTAATTAAAAAACTCAAGGGCTATATGATAAAATCAAACTACTTTTAGCTCAAGCAGTCGGTTCCAAAAAATGATGATGAAAATTTGAATGGCACTTAAACTTTTGAATATTTTTTGTCAGCATGCGAGTTTTGGGCCATCCTTATGAGCAAATGTGAGTTCTGGCCGAATAATAGTACAGGGTGATCCAAGGTAAAATCGTGAGACTGCAGGAGCGTGTTCTTTGGGTTAAAATTTGAAGATTTTCTTGTAGGAGATTTTTTTCCACAGTAATTTTTAAGGGGCTACATCCCCCCTTCTCCTAGTGCTGGAAAATAGATAAATTTTCCTGCATTTTGGCAACAATGCATCGAATCTCATGAAAATAGGAATGCACCCATAATTTGAAACGCTGAATTCATTAGCGACACTAAAGACATGGAAATCCTGTTAAAAAGAGAGTTTTTAGGGGTCCACAAAACGTTCCCTTTCTACACCAAAAAAATATAAGCATTGTCCTTTTTAAGCCTGAGACAAAGAAGACCCCCCCCCCCCCCNCCTCCGAGACCCCACTTTTGACTGAGATTTTAATTTTTCTGATGGTACTGATGAATTGAGCATACCAATCAAATTATGAATACATTACACAATAAAAATGAAACTAAAAAACAGCAAACTGATTAAATCAACTAGAGCTAAAATCAACTAAAAAATGATTTTAGCTTTGGTTGATTTAGTAAGTTAGTTATGAATACATACCAATTTTCATGAGATTCGCTGCATTACTGTTGCCAAAATGCGAATACAATTTATTTCTCAGAGCTTTGAAGGGGGGGGGGACTGCAGTTTAGCTTTAAAATCACTATAGGAAAAAATTTAGTAGAAAAAAAGATCTGAATATGACCCATGCCATAGAAAACGCACCTGCAGTCTGGCCTGCCTTGGTTTAACCTTAGATCGCCTTGTACCTGTAGGTGCATTAAACAGTTAATTGTCCAATCCGAGAATTTGGCAATGCGCTATTTCGATGGTAACTGGAGAAATACGCTTCTTGGTTTGCGGCATTGCAGACTTCCTGTTATACATTATTTTCTATATGAAAAATTACTTTACGCCATATCTTGAAAACTTCGATAATTTTTCTTTCCTAGGTATGTGAAGGAAATTCTCTGAAAATTTCAAGTCATGATGGTTGTTGGGTCTCTTTTAAAAAATAAAATAGGTGCTGAGATATAGCAACCGGGATACATATTTTTGCAGGTTATCATCGATTTATTCTTTCTTTCTGTAGCATTTCTACCTCAAAAAAAAAAGTAAGAGCTTTTAAGTTTTCTAATAAACCTAAACTTGCACCAATTGCTTCAGCGGACTAAAACTTCAAATAAGTCACACTGGAAAGACAATCATTGAGTCGATGAGACTTTGAATCTTCAAATTATGCAGAAAAATCTCACCTCAAACTTGTCCTTGACCCAAAGCTCATTTTTAAGAAACTGCTGCTTGTCATTTTCTTCTAAATCCTGAAAAAAAAACAAAAATGAGGAAACAAATATCACAAGACATTACAGAAATAATGCGTCATTAAGGTTGCTAATTCGCTACTGTATTTTATATCAAGGACAGAGAGGATATTAAAATGATAAAGAAATCTATCCTAAACGCCAGTTTTAACCGAAAGTTTATGATGGGCAATACTAGATAGGGTAAGTACATACAGCACATGTTTTCATATCAAAATTTCACTCAGAATACATTAGAAATTCAAAAATTAACCCAAAGCTTTGTGCCCATTTCTTGGGCGGTTGTCCAGGCAATCTTGTTCCTAAGGATTCTCCAGTAGAAGAAAGGAGTAGAAGGGTCGCGCAAAATGAGTCATTTCACGCTCGTCCCAGATACGTTTGTTGCGACTTGCCCTATTCATTCAGTAAACAATACCGCATCGTTTTCCAAAATTTTAAGCCTCCTAAAGTTTTGGGGAGACGTGGCGGGGGGTTCAAATTGCAAAACGGCAAAATTTCCGCGAATTTTTCACTCGAAAAGTAAGAAGTTTCGCGAAAAGGGGTTTAAACGAGCGTTTTCAGCGTGGAGAAATCTTTCAGAATGTATATAACATTGTAGGATTTTGTCAACTTCAGCTAAAGTTCTTGTCTTCGATGCGCCAGAACGCTGAACAAAGACCTCTTTTTCTCCCGTACGTTTCAGTGGCCCCTCTAGCTTTTCACTGTATGGTGGAAAAATTTTTTGTTCGCAAATTATAAGAGCAGGAAGAAGCGAATATAAAAAAAATCAGTTATTTCAAATTGCACGTGCGGCGTTGTTGTATTCGGCGGCGGCGGCGGCGGTGTATTCAAAGTGTTGCCATGTATTCTCCGATTCTGAAGAACATGCGTGCATGTTTACGTGCTCCAACAATATACCTTGCATAATGCAGCTACGTTTCAGTAGGTACTGTTTCTAGACGTTCTCCGTATATTTCTTCTTTGACACTAATTTAACTGAAGCGAAAGCTCCGTACGACCCAATGTTAACATTTTTCTTCCCATGGTCGATCAATCTTCGTACTTATTGAAACCTGATTTGAGGCTAACCTACAATTATAAAATTGGAACAGAACATAAAATTGTGGCCAACTTTACGGTGCTCCTCCGGATTACCATTGACGTATAATATAATCTAGACCGCGCATTGGGCCCGACTTTAGGCGGGGAAGGTAAGACAGCTAGGGGGGTAAAGACGCGCCTTCAGCCTAGTTGATACCGCCGGATACACGAGCTAAGTGTACCCGTATCAGGCAACGGCACTGATAAGACTGGCATTTCCATTGTCTCGGTCGGTACACTTACTGAGTGTTGCTGGGTTGCTTATCGTCGCGCTTGAGGGGACTCTAGTCTTGCCGAAATTTCCTAATGTGCGGTCTAGATTGTATTATACGTCAATGCGGATTACCGGTAAATTAGTGTTAAAAATGTATTTTAATTCCTAAAAACGTCTGAATCCAGTATTATTTGGCCTCTCCAGAACGTTGGCATGCCGCAGACACAAATAGTACTTATTGACTCAGTTTCGCTTTGATGACATAAAAATGGCGGTGGCTTTCGCTTATGTTGACGTAGTCTATTTATTCTATGGCAGTAGAAATTCCATGAATGTCCTTTGACCTGCATGGGCTAACTGGGCAGGTTCCACCTGCCCCGTTCAAATCTTTATTAAAAGTTTTTATTTCATTCCATTCAGTCAAAATATCATTCATGAACCTTATCATATAATGAATTTAATAATGCCTAAAGTTATTTTGCTTGGACAGGAACTTTTTGCGCTTTACTCTACCGTAATCAGCCTAGCAGCTTAAGTTTTTTTACTTATTTTTTAAAAGTTAATCATCTTCAATCTCACTGGAACTGGCAAAAAAGTGTCCTGAAATATAATACTTCCTGAAAAGTAGGAATACTAAAAGTCCTAGGCATTTATCTAGAAGGAAAATTCTTTTTGACCGTTATTCAATTCTCAGATTTGAGGGTTTTTTTGCCCCCAACTGACACAACATCATTTTTAACCACTTAAACATTTATACATAAATTTAAATGACATTTTCTTAAACCTCCGTGAGAAGGACATCACCTTCTGGCCAATGAGAATTAACACTAATTCCACCTTAAAAATTAAGGGGGGGGGGGGGTAATCCAGTTACCCCACGATGATGGGTAACTGGGTCAAACAAACAGGAAATTTTTGATTTGTGGGAAAAAATTAAGAGGTGAAATTCGACTTTTGACTCATCCTACATTGAGACTAGGTGTTACACTTACTAGGAAAAAAAAAAAAAAAGCCTCTGCTGTCAGTCAACATAATGATGGGAAAAAGAAATCATGAAGTTGAGAATTTTGACATTTTTCTCCGAAATCTTGCCCAGTTACCCGACCTCACCCTACAACTCATAATGTACTATCGACGAATTTAGTTTCCCGCAGAGTCTCTGGTGACTACTTAGCGACTGCGCGGTGCGGCGCGTTGCCTGATAACGTTCATATAAAAACGCACTCGTTCCCTTATGGGCGCGTTGTCACTAACGCAGACGCACATGAAACACATACAAACAAGTTCGCTCATTCACTGACAGAATTCACGTTTTTGGATCTTTGATATGTAAACAAAGATTTTTAATGACGTATTGTGCATCGATTTCTATCCTCACTCGCCTCTCGTTCTTGTGACCAGAGCAAGGAAAGACAGGACCTTAGTCAAATTCGGCCATCTCCAACCTTGGCCTGATTTTCGAAATATTTTCAGAGTTAATAGATGATTACTTTTCAAGTACAAAACACCGACGATTTTTAAAATCGAACAATTACGGGGGCAGGGGAGGGGAGTCAAAGTAAAAAAACTAAACTCGCATTTCTCGCTAATGGTTTGTTGCAGAGAGATGATCTTGATCGCAAAATTTAGAGAAAACCACCAGCTTTCAGGCAATGTTTAAGTAATTGGTTCATTTTGAAAATTTCATCCATAGCTGCCACCTTGTTGGAGCTTAAATTTTCAGCTGTGACATTGAAGGAATCGCACAAAAAGTAACACTAATATTTTCTGATGAAAATAGACCGTTTGAACTTTAAAACAAACAGAAGTTCATCCTGAGGAAACAAGTTGGAGGAGAGGTATGATTTGTCAAAGTGCATGCAGTATACACTGGGACCTGATTTGTTCAGAGTCCTAAGATCACCCATGCCCCCAAACCGACCACGAATTGCGAGGTTATGCATTTTTATACCCCATTAGCTCATTCCCTAGGAAAATTATTAAAAAATAACAAAATATGGAGGCACATGAATGTTACAGGACTAGCCTTAGCTGACGCTCGCTGCATCAACTTTAAAAAATCATGACGGCTTCAAATCGTTTCTCTAGGATGGACTTAATTTTTTTAAAAAGCTCAAATGGTACGCTTTTGTTAGCAATTCTTCTTTTTTCCTCTTATTTCTACACAGAGAACCGTTGAAGGTAAACATTAATTTTTTTAAAGATCGAAAACCTTGAGTCACCTATTTCCATTGCATATTAATCATGTATCCTGTTCTTGTCGTTTTTGACGAATGATTTTCTCCAGGAGTGACCTAAAAAAGTACCACCCCAGCTAAAAATATAAGAAATTGAAAATTTGAGCTACAGCAACAAGGCAACAATGGATGAAATTTTCAAAATGGACCAATTTTGTTATTATCGTCTGAAAACTGGTGGTTGTTTCTAAATTTTGAGATTATAGAAGAAGTTTCCGCAGAAGTTTCGTTTCAAGAAACTTAAAAATTAACTGCTGCTCAAAGCTCTGAAAACTGAAAAATTCTCACGCTGGCTGAAATACACACACACACACACCCTCTCCCTCACATACACACACACACCCTCACATATATATAACAGAGTGAATATTGGCATAATATTATAAATGCATAACAATTATTACGAGCACATAAGCCAAATGGAGTTGTACTACAGCAATAAAACCAGGGAAGTATTTAAAATTTTTTTTTTTTTCTTTCTTTTTTTTCTCACTTGTACTCTAGCACGCTAGACTGTTTTCCTGTATTATTTTGTAATTTCACCAACCGTTGTATTTCTCATCTTTGCAACCATGTAATTGCTTGTTCGTCTTGCCTCGGCCCTTTCTATTGTAGTGGTCTTTGTACTTGTTTTGTGCATTATTCACTGATGAAGACATATGTTCAAAGTCGAAACGTTTGGTAGGTACGTAATTTTCCATCTTGATAACAATAAAATCTTGAGATTTTTTTAAAAAATTCCCTGGTTTTATTGCCTTAGTACAACTCCATTTGGCTTATATGCTCATAATGATTGTTATGAGCGTGTATATAAATATATATGTACTAGTCGTTCTGGACGCGCTTTGCGTGTCCGTCACGGCCAGCCAAGGGGCTGCGCGCCCTGGAACCCCGATCACTCGCTACGCGAGTGACATTCGGCTCGCTCCGCGAGCCATTTTCCTCAGTGATTAGACATTAGATTACTAAGATGTATACATTTTGGAGACTCTGGAGGCAAAAATGATTCCGTCACAGAGCCTTGATGCCGGAGCGTGCCATCATTTGCACATGAATAGATGTGTGGAGATGAAGCGATGATGGGGATCGATCATCTCTTCAAAATCGCATTTGACTGGGACGTCATCCCATCGGGTGGCGGAAAAAGACAATCCATGGATCTCCTTCCGTGTTTTGACTTGCTGAAGTAACAAAAGTTCATCTTTACCTCTTAAGAAGATTATCGGTGGCGTAGGGGTCTAAAAACTGCTCAACGATAGTATAGTTCGAGTTCCGAATCGCAATGAGCCCACTCGTGTTTTTTTTTTATACTTTCATCGCATATTTTCTCTGATGTTTTTGTTTTATTCTCTCTGATTGCATGTTAGTAATCATATCCTCATTTCATTTCCTTTCCCTTTCCTTCTTCCCTTTCTGTAGCATCTGTGTCCATTTACAATTATTATTTTAAAATAGCTTTCCCCTAGTATACAATTGATGCTTCAAACGGAATGACATTTCCGGCTACATCATGGGTTTTCCCAGGAAGGCTGCCTCTCGTCCCTCCCGGACTCTATATTGTTGCCAGATAAGTTGCTTTTTTAACACTTTTCTCCAATTCAAATCCATGTAAAATAATCACATTTATCGCACAATCTGGCAACCTCTAGAGTGAAATAGAAAAAGACAGAATCGCTGAAAGTCTGAATCCTTCGAAGTTTATATTAATGATTAATGATATCGTAGGCCAAAATAAATACACTAAAAACAAATATATATATATAAAGAGAGAAAATGAATGACATATTTATTCGTGATCTACGACTTGAGATCGGTCCTCTTCACATGGTCCCAGGTCTAGGTCCCACCATGAGGGAGAACGCAATAGTGTATTTTTCCTTCGGAAAATACACTAAAAATAGTTCCACAGATATTGCATTTGAAAGTTCAAAAGTGTATACCGCTGGTTCCAGCCAATATCTTCGCACGAAATTAAATTAGTTTGAAAGAACAAGTCTGTGAGAGTAAACTTGCAAAAACGGGACATTGTGACTACATTCCCCTATGATTCCTACAGGATAACATGGATAGTTGTGTAAAAAAAGGGGGCGGGGGCTTTATAGTATATTTCCTGAAACTAGGAAGAATACAGTTTCAGAAAACGCGTTCTTCCAAAAAAGGGCGGATGCGAACATACGTCTTTGTTCCAAAGAACTCCATTTAACCCGCCGGTACAGCGCGGCGTCTAGAAGACAAAATCAGTTGCACCTCATGAAATTTTAGCTCTATGTATTATCAAGTGACCGCGATGTTGCGCTGTCTATTATAGTTTGCACCTATAGATGCTTGTCTGAAGGATATTTTCTTGGAAAAGTAGAAGATATGTCAATTGTTTAAGTGTCTCCGTTTTCCTCGTTGACATGAGATGAGATAGGTCGAGAAAGTAACACGCCACGCCGCGCTGCGCCTCGTCGCACAGTTTACATTTGATTTGAAACGGCCTATGCCTGAAACTAATTTCGTCGATAGTACATCTCCTAAAAATAAATAACAACATCGTAAAAAATATTATTCACTTACGTCAAATTGGTTAATACTAAGTTTCATATTTTTTCTGATGAGGTATAACTTTTCCTCATCCCCGTACTCTTCATGGTTGATGTTAAATCGCCAAATCCAACGTGTATACCATTTGAAATACTTGAAAGCTCTACATGGTAAAAGGATTAGTTGTAAAATTAACAAATCTGTCAACTCAGGTTTTGCATAACCTCCCCTGAAAAAATAGTACATCATTATAATTGACATATGCATCTGCTATATAACAATAGGGGGCCTAAAACGCCTGGAGTTTAGAGTTCTTATGGCAAAACCTGCATAAAAATTTGGAAGATTAAATGGACCTCCCACTCAGAATCAATAGCGCTCTTGGGTGCAGAACCACTCTGCTCACTAGCAAGTCGCTGAAAATGTCGTACTTCATAAAAGAGTACAGTCGCCCCTCGAATTTGACATTAAAGGGACAAGGGAATTTGTTCAAACTAAGAAGGTTTCGTATTAAATAGCGTCGAATTAGAGAGTCTGCGTGAAAATATTTCGAATTAAAGAGGTTCGAATTGTGGAGTGAAATAAGAGAGAATTTTCGAATTACAGAGGGAATTTTTTAAGTGAAAGATTTTGAGAGCAAGTACTTTCATGCATTTCTTTAATAAATTTAATGAATCAATAAATTTTTAATACACATATTTACGGAATTGACGAGAACAATTAAGTTACATATTAAGCCTTCACTTGCTCTGAAATCTGTTGCGCAAAGCTCGGACGCAAACTTCAATGCTTTGCCTTTGAAGAGAGGACCATCTACAGGAGTATTTTGTGCTCTGCATTAGGCCGCCCAGGATAACAAACATGCCTCGACTTTAGGAAACTCACCGTTCCAAATGCGTTTCCTCTTGCTCAGCTTGCCATTTGCGATTGGAATCTTGTTCCTGTTTTTCAGAAGGGTTGATGGTGTTGATGAAGAAATACCAAATATTTTAGTGACATCCTCCTTTCTTTTCCACTTTCCATGGTTTTGATAATTTCCCCTTTCCCCCCACAAGATCGAGGGAATTATACTTGCCCGAAACCTATTCACCTCCACAACTCACTTCTCGAGTAAGCGACACAGTTTTAACAAATATCTGATTTAAAACTTGTTTACACCGCTTAGGTTCCGAAACTCGGTGCACTGAATACGTGACGAACGATTTCGTATTATAGAGGGGGAGGATGGCCTCTTTTCGAATTATTGAGGGAATTAGAATAACAGAGGGAGAGGAACGTCTTTTTCGAATTAAAGAGGGACCAAACTGCCTAAAAAAGGAGGAGTATCGTTTTGGGCCTTTTCCGGCCCCACCTGGATTTGGTGAATGTTTCATATTTTCAAAGTGCTAGTACTAGGTAGACTCTGTGCTAAATATTTCACCGAACGGAGCCCATGCAAAGGTGCAACAACGCCTCAAACACAAAATCCTGGCATCGAAAAATGGTTATTTTCATCGACTTTTTCGGCTGTTATCAATCTTCCAGCAGACGATTCCTACGTATTTTTTTACGTACTTTCCGTTTCTGGCCTTTAAAGAGGCCTCCGATGTATCTTGAGGGGCCTTACGGTCCATTATTGCCATATTTAGCTCATTTTTAGGGTTTCTTTCAATTTTGCACACAAAGAACTCAATTTAAACTCAGAACCGTATACGTTTTTGAAAAGAACGCAAAAAAATGATTAATTAATGTTCAGTGAAACTTTTTTCTACGTTGCCTTTTCGAGAAAAATCGTTCCAAAGCGGCAAAAATTTGATAGATTGCCCCGCCTAAGGTTCAAGAAAGTGGGGTACAACTTTTATATTAACTTACATAACAGCTCTTACCCATATATACAACATATCAAAAAATTATAGTTGTACCTGGATTCCCACGCTGTGAAAATTATCCGGGATGTCGATTTTAGCGGCCTTTTTTTACTTGAAGGTATGCTCTTTTGAATATTTTTCGACCTTAGTCACCCTCCGTTTGTCAGTAACACATGTAATTTTCTACGTATTTTTCATATCTGGCCATAAAAATGGCTTTCTATGAATTTTATAGGGCCTAACTGTCCATTGTTGCCAATTTTTACCAATTTATAGGGATTTTTTTAAGTTCACATGTGTAAAACTTAATTTCATCTAGACATTGTGTAAATTTTCGGAAAGAACGTAAAAAAATACATGCATAATGTTCTTTGTCACTTTTCCCTACGTTGCCAAATTTTCGAGAAAAATCGTCCTTCAGTGCCAAAATTGCCAAATATTGGATTAATCATCACGTCGAAGATTCTAGGATGTGAATTTTAAGTGTTTTTTTCACTACAAATAACGTATCCAACATGGAAAATTGCAATGTGTCTCACCACACATGTAATGGCTCACATGAACATGACGCAAGGGACCCTCAAGATGCTTCCACCTCTTCCTTCACTCCATTTCACCGGGTTATTCCTGTAACCTCGAGATAGTCCTTGGTTCTCAAGATGCCTGCTATAGGCCAAATACCAAACAACAGAAACTGCGTGGGCACAGCGTCCCACAATCCTTTGGGAAGTCTTAATTCACATCCTAGAATCTTCGACGTGATGATTAATCCAATATTTGGCAATTTTGGCACTGAAGGACGATTTTTCTCGAAAATTTGGCAACGTAGGGAAAAGTGACAAAGAACATTATGCATGTATTTTTTTACGTTCTTTCCGAAAATTTACACAATGTCTAGATGAAATTAAGTTTTACACATGTGAACTTAAAAAAATCCCTATAAATTGGTAAAAATTGGCAACAATGGACAGTTAGGCCCTATAAAATTCATAGAAAGCCATTTTTATGGCCAGATATGAAAAATACGTAGAAAATTACATGTGTTACTGACAAACGGAGGGTGACTAAGGTCGAAAAATATTCAAAAGAGCATACCTTCAAGTAAAAAAAGGCCGCTAAAATCGACATCCCGGATAATTTTCACAGCGTGGGAATCCAGGTACAACTATAATTTTTTGATATGTTGTATATATGGGTAAGAGCTGTTATGTAAGTTAATATAAAAGTTGTACCCCACTTTCTTGAACCTTAGGCGGGGCAATCTATCAAATTTTTGCCGCTTTGGAACGATTTTTCTCGAAAAGGCAACGTAGAAAAAAGTTTCACTGAACATTAATTAATCATTTTTTTGCGTTCTTTTCAAAAACGTATACGGTTCTGAGTTTAAATTGAGTTCTTTGTGTGCAAAATTGAAA